CAGTGGTCCTTTTTAGTGGGATTCTACTTTCCCCATAAAATCTGTTGGGTCCCAAACAGTTTTCTAGAGTGAGCTAGATGACTGACAGTGCAGTCTTGAGCAGAGTTACATACTTCTGAGCTCACTGACTTCAGTGGACTTATAAAGATGTAACTGTGCTTGGAACTGCACTTTGAAATTCAAGAAAGTGATTAAGTCAAACTAAGGCCAGTTGCCTCTTCATATCCTAACTGTTTTTCTTTTAAGAACAAAATGCAGGTTTGTTTTCCTGACTACAGCCTAAAAGTTGAAAGCATGCACACATCAGAATAATCTCTGAATGTTTTCTTTGAAATACAGGAGCAACTGTACATAAAATGCCTGGGAGCTAAAATGTCTGGTGACAGGCATTTGCACAGACGGATCCTCTCACTTGGTGAATTGACTGCTGCATCCTTCAGAAGTAATGCACTCCCTGATGTGCAGCTGCAGGACAAAGCCACTTGGTTATGTGGCAAAAGAGACATCTCTGTGATTTCTCTTAACCGCATAGTATCATTTGTCTGGTTCCGTGTAGACTTGACATTTTCAGTGTATTTATTTTGAGGACAAAAATATTATATCCTAAGGATAGGGAAAGGACTTTCCATTCCATACACAGTGGATAAAAGGACAGCAAATGTGGCTATGACAGATTAACAAAATCAATAAATAGGATCACTTTTGCTGTCCAAAGGACTGCTGTGAACTCAGATGAATTAAATCATTTTGGGAGCACACAGGAAGTTGCCAGGAAGACCTACTCTGCCAATTACTTCCATGTTTTTCCTCCACAGCAATGATGCTGATTTTTTAAAAAATAAATAAAATAAAACATTAACTGGAAAGCAATTTCTACATCTTTTGTATGAAAGCTACTCAGTTCTTTCCTGTAATATCCATACGAATGTTTTATCTTAACCTAAATTCTAATAACCTACAGACAAGAAGGTGCACCATAGAGGACAAACATTACTTCATAATCAGTCCTACATGGGGAGAAGATTAATGCAGGAAACCCCTGGAAATAGGAACCAGGGCACCGAAGACCATTTGGAGCATCCACAAAGGTGTCCCAGAGCTGAGCAGTGCAACAGCACCTGATTATCAGCTAAATTATAGTAGAATAAGAAGGTGAGTTCAAAGTGAGTGTCTACTACCAGGCTGTGAGCCAAGCTAAGAACAACATCTTCCTTTGCTCAGTTATGACCACTAAAAATAAAATCTGGTAATATTTTTCTTATCTGGAAAGATCCTAACGATCATTAGGATATAACAGAAAGATTATCTTGTATCATCGCTTTGTGGTCATGTAGTAACAAAACAAGCAAATCAAAAGCATTTTAACTGCCGGTCTCCTCAGTGAGTCGAAATATATTTGGCTTGGAACTTCACTTTCTGGAAATGACTAATCATAGCATGTTTTCATACATAAGACTTCAATCGCCACTGAGCCTCCTCTCACACTATTTATATGAAGTCTGATCAGTGTGACCGCAGAAAAGAATGTGGAAGAGAAGAACCTGGAAAACCTATAAGCATAGTTTTTGCATTTACATTACAGACTAATAAAGAAGAATAATTTTCAGCATTAATGTGTAATAAAATGCCTTTCCTATGTATAGGACATTGCTGACATTCAACACAGAGAAACTAATATTGACTCTGGCTGTGGAACTATCTGAAGTCTGGGTTGAGCTTTTTCTATGGAGATGCAGCACAAAAGAACTGTACATCCTGCTTTACCTATGTATACAATTGCATTGTACCCTACCTGCTGTTATTGGCAAATTAACAAACCTTCCCTGTCCCCTGTCCAAATCACAATAAAGATGGAGAGGAGAGAATACTTCTATTGTGAATTACACAAAATGGAGATGTATTAACCTGTAATACCCATGGGTCTTTTACCAGTGCTTGAATAATATATAACCAAGAGGACTCAGTTGCAAACTCTACAGAGACAAAATATTTTCAAAAAAAGAAAACTTTTTAAAAAATTCTTATACTCTATGTACTTCACAGAAAGGAGTATCATAATCTTAGATCTGGCAAGAGAAGAGAATCATTCTGAATTAGATGTGGCTTACTCCTATGGTTGCATATGATTACAACCTGGAACCTCTCTGGAGTGCTACAAATTCATATCATTGGCTATTTTAATGGATTACACTAAGTTAGCAATCATATGCATCCACAGGAATAAGCCCATTTAATTCAACAGACTTCTTTCTAAGCCATCTGACAGTTTTGTGTGTTTTGTGTACATAAATACAAAACTGACAAAGCAATGAAATTTGTGAAATATTTATGATGTTACTGAATATTAAGCCAACATGCTGAAAACTGGAATTAATGTAGGGATTCTAGAAGTACCATATCAGGTGCAAAGTATTTCCCCCCGTAGTAACTATTTCTCGTTAGCATGTTCCAAGTAAAGACTGGGTTTTAAAGGACAGTTATTAGAAAGATTTTCAAAGTTATGCTGTAATATTGCGAAAGTTTCATAGTCTCAACCTAAAATCATATACACTGTTTTTATCCACTAGTATGTATTGGACTGTTTTAATTTCGTTTATATCGAGAATGTATACTATCCTGTTGTAAGCCGCCCTGAGCCCTACTTTATGGAAGGGTGGCCTAGTAAATCCAGTTAAATAAATAAATAAATAAATAAATAAATGTTAATTTGTTTAACAGGAGTTGCCTATGTCATAAGAAGAGATTAAATTCCCCAGTTACTTCTTTACCTCCTGTCACAACATATATCAACGTTTGCAAGCAGTTTTGTAATTCAGGCTCAACTTTTTGTTTGTAATCCAAGTATCTCAAAATGAAGATTCCCCAGGATGAATGTTTTGATTTCTTTCTTTCTTTTTCTTAAGCAACCTTTTGTCATTATTACCTATTCTAATATTCTTTAAAAAAAAAAGCTTACTTTTAATATCCACCTCAAACCAGGTCCATTGACATTCATGTCACGAATTAGAGGCTGTGTTATGTCATAAAGCTTGCCTGTGTGACTTTTTAAAAATCCGATTGTATATTGGACACAAAAAGATTAGGAGATCCCATTCATTACTATAAAAAGTCTTATTTTAATAGAAAATCCAAGATAATGTCTTACGAACACAGTCCAAGTGTTTTGCAGTTAAGGTGATCATTGTCTTGACCCTTTTGATTATTATTTCCCCTTATGCAGACAAATTAAAATTTGTATTTATCATGATTACCAGGGTAATTATTGATTAACATGATCAATCTACAAGTTAATGCTTCCAGCTCCTAATAACTTTTGCCTACAATTCCTTCACTACAATTTTATTTGTATTTATTTAAACCCTTTATATGCCTGTCTTTCTCTTGACAGCTCAGGATTGAAGGCAGTGTAAGTGAATTAAACATGTCAGAGAATCAGTGGTTAGAGTCCTAGATGTGGAGACCAGATTCAAATCCCTATGCAGTCATAAAGCTCAATAAGTGATCCTGGTCCAGCCACTGTTTCTTAACCTAGCCTACCTCACAGGGCTGTTGTGAGGAAAAAATTGAGAAAACCTTAAATTCTGTGGAGAAGTGGATGAATATAAGTCTGATGGGCAGACAGACAGATGTAGGTCATCAATATATAGTAATATTCGCAGCACATCAGCTGATAATGAGTCCTCTGTAGTCATAAAATAACAGTACACTAAACTTCACTACGTTGTATGAAATACAAAATATTTTGCCACTCATCTTTGTGCCTCTGTAGCCTGACAGTGTCTGCAAAGAACAGATTCCCCAGGATCAATGTCTTGATTTCTTTCTTTTTAAAAGCAACCTTGGTCTTCACTGGTGCAAAAATACAGTTGACATTAAAGATAGGGTGTTTTTTTTCTCCAAAGCAAGACTGTAGGACTTGCCTCATTGAAAATCTATAAACTTCATTACTGACCTGTTGACATTAAAGATAGGGGTTTTTTTCTCCAAAGCAAGACTGTAGGAATTGAAAATCTATAAACTTCATTACTGACCTAGCACTTTCTCTTGAAGAATGATGTGTCTGTGCCATTATTAACTTTGCCTGTAGATTTCCACATCTGCTCCCCATTTAATTAGAAATGAATGACTGCTTGAAATTAGAATTATTCCTTCTGTATGGTGGTGGGGAGCAAAAGGTTGAGTTAATCGAAAAGTGATAGCATTAGATATGATAGATTGTGCATATTTGTGTGTGTGCACATCCATTTTTTTTTCAGAAGCAAACTTAGACATTCATTTTAATGTTACATAGTTGGTTTCAAGAACATGGGTTGGAAAAAATGCTTAGCTAATAGATTGCTCTGATTATCTCCAGCATATTATGCTTAAATATATAGTACTTAGGAAGTAAATTATTTAGTTTCACTTTATCTTCCATGATGAAAGTTGATTGCTAATAAAAGACCATCAGTGACTTTTTTCAACAGTAAAAGAATCAACACAACCAAAAAAGTGTTTTTTAAAAATAGCTAATATTTCAATGTAGCCTCTTTAAGTCCTTCTCAGCTTAAGATATTACAGACAATTAATGATGGGAAAGCTAGAATTCCTAGGGTGGAAAACAACAGACACACACACACACGTGTATGTATGTATGTATGTTACATGAATCTGTGTAAATTCAGCACTCCACACCTTTGGAAAGGTATAAGCTGCCCATGGTCATAACTGAAAGAATGACTGAAAGCAAAACAAAAGAACAGAATCCATAGGTATCACATATATTTAGTGTGTTCAAATAATCTGGACTTGAACTTGGAAGATGTAGGTTTAAGACTCACCCAGTCATAGACTCTCTTATCAATAACTTTGGTCAAGTCACTATTTCTTATACTCAGTTTCTCGAAACAGGAATAATATTACCTATCTTCTAAGGTTAAATTAAGATCCTGCAAAACATCTTGCATATGAAGTGTCCAACAAAAGCAATTAATAGTAGGAATTACACTTTCCATACTTACCTTCTGTGTGTACTGCAGACACGTACGTCCAGTTGTAGCGTTTGACTATGTCAAGCATGGCTCTGGCTTGCAGAATGTCAGATGGGACCACCCTTAAGAAGTATTTGTACAACGTTTTGTCACTTAGGTCAATACTTGTTGCAGAATAAGCAATTTGGGGGATGTCAAAGAGCTGGAGGAGATTTTGTACTTGGATGGCCACAGAACTAGAGCCTGGGCCAATAACACCAGCAATGGGTTTTTTGGCGTTGATGTGGTGGTGGAATGTAGTGTCGGGCACACAGCGGCCAAGAGCATCTTTCTCATCTCGGATGGAGATCAAGGAGTCCCTTATGAATTCAATGCTCTGCTCCAAGGCCACTGAGGAGTGCCAACAGGAATCTCGGATTTCACTTCCTAAAGTGATGTTGGGCAGCAGGACTGGGTCAGAATTAATTTTATCCAGAGTGTGAAACATGGCCTCTACTCTCTGGATACCATATTGCTCTCGGATCTCACCACATTTCCTCTCCGGGACTTTCTCAGCTGGAGGCTGGTGATGGACAGAGAAGAGAGCTCCTATAATGACATCACCTTCCATTCTAGCTACCGATCTTTGGGAAGAAGCACCTGAGATCAAAACCTTCCTGCCAGCATTCTTGGGGAGGAAGTCCATTTCCAGGAGAATAGCAGGGAAGAAGACGAGCAGTATCCCAATCATTTTGTTGCAAGAAGCCATCCAGATCCAGGTAACCAGCTTCACGGACTCCTCCTGTCTGCACATTGTTATAGTTATGAAAGAGGCTACAGTCTCTACCCACCAGTCACTTCCCCAAGTGTCTCAAAATCCCATTACAATGTAGTCTTAAACCAAATGGCCTGAAGGGGCAACAGAAGTCATCATAGGAATGAACTGTAGCCTGTTGACATGTAAAGAAAGAACAGAACACAAAGATCAGCTACAAGTCTGTAAATGCACAACGGAGCAGAGGGTGTTTTCTTCCCAAGTGTCCCTTCCCACCTGTTTGGGATAACAGAGGAGATCAAATCAATTTGCACCAGAAAGCGGGTCACTTTCAAAAGCAAATATCAGTAAAAGAAACTGAGAATGAGAATGGCCAGACACTGTTACACTGCTGTGGACATAAGCATAAAAATATGTGCTGTATAATATACAGGCAGTGTTATTATATTATGGACATAATATAATAACATATGGACATAAGCATAAAAATATGTGCTGTATAATATACAGGCAGTATTATTATATTATTTTGCATGACAGACACCAGAATATACAGATAGCTATCCAAAATATACATTCACAATAAATCTGTGTGACTAGATAAATGTATTAATAACTGTCCACTTGCATTTGCTATATATACTGAGATGAAGTTGCTTTTACCTGTGATACAATACTTTTAAAACATCTTTACAAGTTTAAGAACATCCACAGGTTCATTAAACAGATATTCTTTAATCTCAATGATCCTGTAAAGGGTTGGAATGCTTTGGAGTTTTAAAATAATAACTCAGAGCTGAAGAATGCACCATGAAAAGCAGGGGGAAGGGAATTCTCAGAGAAACAAAATGTCATTTAAAGGTCAAAACAGAATTTTAAAAAACCCGACAAGATCCAGCTCTCTCCCAGTTAGATTAATCTTTCGGGTTTGAAAGAAAAGCTGTAGTTCGACAAGAGACACAACTATGCAAGCTATGGGAAATACATATTAGTTACTAAGGCAACCACAGGCAAAGTCCTGATGTGCTTTTCTGGTAGTGCTTGTTTTTCAGGCAGACTTCGGACAGAATAGGTGACTAGGCAGGCGGCTAGAGTTTAAGTAGTTTAATTTTAAAAGGCGATCGGCTGCTTGTTTGAGATAATTGCCGACTGGAAAATCAGGGATGCCTTACTTATCTAGGCTGCCCTGTTGCACGGGTTGGGGCTTCTGCGGCTTTTGCTGGAACTGGTGCTGCTTTCAGAACCCTGGACAGCGTCCACAGTGACCGGATTCCCAGCGAGTTCTCCCCTTGCCTGGAATAAAGATTCCGGGGCAATGCTTAAGCTCTTTGCGGTAAAAACTTCTTGCAGCCGCAGTTTTTGTCTTTTTTGCGCACACGCAGGCAGGCACACACACACATTTCACTAACACCATTCTGCCTCCTCCCAATTCCCCCCAAACATATAGAAATACATACAGAGAATTCCGGTTGTAACAGCTTCTCCTTCCCATCCTTCCTGAATAGCTCTGAATGCCTACAAAAGCAAGCGATGGTGGTGGGTTTCTACATTGCAGCCAGATTTCAAGTTAGCTATCCCCCCCCTCCCGATTTCTCTTCCTCATTCTCTGAAGGACGGGAATCCGGGAGCAGCAGAGGGATAAGCGAGATGAAAGGGGCAGAAGGAAAATATTCTAGAGGAGAGTATTAAGAACCGAGTCTCCCTCCGCCCGCACGCACGCACACCTGCATACAGAGATGTCTAAAACTAGTCAGGAAGCCAAAGATGTCTGAAACGTAACCTATGATGAACGTCTTCTGTCTGGACCTTTTGCCGGCAACGTCCGTGCTCCGGCTGGTCCCTTTGAAGGATTAAGCTCAAGACCTACCTGCACCCGAAACCATGAGACAGTTCGCTCCTTCCTTCATCAAAGCGGTCATCGCCAGTTCTCCCGTTCACGTTGCTCTTGCTAGTCTGATACAGGCAGATGGGCTGTACGCGAGTGCCCTCTTTCTTCAACGTTGTTTTACCGCAGGAAGGAGGGAAGGGGGGGGAGGAACGGGTCATACGAGGCTCATCCATTATCTCATACATAAAGATCAGTCATTAATTTCTCCTCCTTTCTCTCCCCGCCATCCCTACATTTCACCTTAATTTTTTCAGCTCGTGTCTGTTAATCAAGAAAAAAGAATGTGTATAACCCAGAAGGGGGAGGGGCTTGGTTTTCTCTGTATTTCAGCGCCAGCGATTCATTACCTTCCAGCCACACATGCAGGTATCGCAAACAGAGTATATAGGAAAAGGAGGATTTTAGAGGTATAGATAGATTAACGGTGCTGCTGAAGAGTCCTCATGTGAAGATTCTCTCTCTGCCTTCCTCCAGTCTTCAATACACTTGTTGTTGGGTTTAAAAAAAAAAAAAACTGCTAGAAAAATCCAAAATCCCATGACATTGGAAGTCACCAGGAACTGAAATGTTCAGATGAATCTAAATCATGCATACTAAGAGACATGTCAGATTAAAATAATCCCCAAATGAACAGCTCAAATGTCCTGCTTGCTACACTGACAGAGCTGGAGGACTGTAGTGTTTTAGTTCTGTCTATGGAAGTTAGTTAGAGCAGCATATCCTGATGGAAACTCTGGAGGCAGGAGAATGGTTCTTGCCCTACGTTCTAAAAGGCAAAGACACCTTGTGCAAAGGATAGGAGTGCAACCATCCAGTCTTGGTTTCATGTAGGCTTGCTTTTCAAAGCTTCCCTGCCTCTGTGCTCTGTGCTATTTTCATACAGTCACTTTACATGCTATGTTGTGTATTTTCTTAAAATAGTGAATATTTTTCAATAGGCATGTACATAGTTATAAAATGTGCAACCAGAGTGCAATCACTGCCTTCAGTTTGCTAGACCTGAGCAAGGCTGTTTGGAGATTGTTCATTCATAGGGTCATCATAAATCGGAAGCAACTGGATGACACATAACACATGCAATCACATTTCTGCCTGAAAGGTGGCCAAGACAAGAGAAGACAATAGCAAGACAAGGGAAGGTAAATAACTTTGGAGTGTCCACTAGACAGTAATACATTTATTGTGCATGGCAATATTGAAAGGATTGCTGCTGCTTTCTTATGGGGTATTAGAGGAAAAAAACAGAATAATAAGGGAGCTTTTGAAATAGGATGAATAAAGAAGAGGATGCCAGACAGCACTGCCTGCTCCCACTGTTGTTCTAAGTTACATCTCTTCAGTTTGCAGCAATTCATCCTCAGGCTGATATTTTTTTAGAACAAAAGTTAATTGAGAGTCAATAACAAAGCAATTCTAAGCAGGTGTATTCAGAATCCTCAGTGGGGGTTACTTCCAGGAAAGTATTTGTGGGATTGCACTGTAAGGAGCTGCAGTGGCTCAAGTGGTAAAGACGCTGAACTGCAGGCTGTGGAAGGTCAGTAGTTCAGCAGTTCGAGACCCGAGTGTGCCGCATGATGGAGTGAGCTCCCATCTCTAGTTCCAACTCCTGCCATCCTAGCAGTTTGAAAGCAAGAAATTGCAAGTAGATAAATAGGTACCACTTTGGTGGGAAGGTAACAGCATTCCGTGCGCCTTGGTGTTTAGTCATGCCGGCCACATGACCACGGAAACGTCTTCGGACAGCGCTGGCTCTTCGGCTTTAAAACGGAGATGAGCACCGCAACCCTAGAGTCGGACTCGACTGGCTTTCGAGCAAGGGAACCTTTACCTTTACCTTTACTTTACTGTAAGGCCAAGGGAATTGCAAAGCTAGGGGATGAGCAGCACAATCCTAAGTAAAATGACTTTCTTCCAAACATGTTAATTGATTTCAATTGTTTTTGAAGGGTGTGACTCTGCTTAGGATTGCACTGGAAGTATTTCAGTACAGCTAGATGTAGAAGATAATGTGGAGAGAGGAAAAGAAATAGTTAAACAGGTGCAGAAGGAGGGACAACCCAGAATGATATTTAGGGTTGTTCCTTTCCTATTCAAAACTTTAGTTTACTTTCCTAGATATGGTATAATAACACTTCAAGGGCAGTTATATTTTTATGCATGTACCATGTTTCTGTCCCAAACTTTTGCAGGCAGCTCATTTAAAATGATATATTCCACATGTCTTTAAATATCTTTAAACGTTTCAGCTAAAAAATGGAATCCATGCAACCGCAATGCAAGACTGCTGTAGGATTTTTACAGAGTCACACATAGAAAGTTGATTCCAATCATTTGGATAGGCTGAACATACTTTGCTGTCTTGAGCTTGAGAGAGGACTAGCAAATCAACTTTTATTTAGGAACATATGCAATTTGAATCCTGTCTTCTCTTAAAAGTTCTCTTAAGCAATGACTTTACAGATCAAAATAATGCTAAACATAAGCACATACAATACTGTATTTACATCCCACCCCGCCAAAAAAAGAGACAATCCTGAGCATGAGATGATCTCTTTTACACACAAAAGGTATTTTATTACTGTAAATAACTGTAATTTGTATGTGAATTTAAGACCAACCCCTCTGATTCTTGACAGCACAAGTCGCCAAAAGTCTTCCTTTTGGATAAATTAGGTAATAACATTGTAAGATGTTTCTATATTGAACAAGTATACCCTTGGAAGTCCAGCACTAGAATGAAAATGGACAGCTGATGTAGGATCAGTAATTGAATCTTCTAGAGTGATACAGAGAAATGGGTATGTCCTGGTGGCAAACGAAGTGATAAATTACTCCTATTCTATAATATATGTTGTGCTGGCGATGACTCACTTACTCTCCCATTGGCTACGGGGGAAGCTGCCTTGGCATCCTATTGGCCTGTCCCACTGGCTCCTCCATTCTTGCACCCCCACTTTTGACACATTGCATGTTGGGAGTTGTACTTCTCAGCTGGCCTTACTGCAACCGTAGCAAAGGGAATCAGAACTACAGGTCCCAAATTGGGAGTCCCAAGAGGCTGTGGGGCATTAGCAGGAAGTCAGTTGAA